TAATATCCAAGGTAGCAGCAGTCAAGGTATCAAATGACATATTACATTGACAAAGTGCTAAAGAGCAAAGAGATCAATTTAAATACTAAGTTGTGTTTAATAAAGTTATAATATTTTCAATTGCTTCTTATGCATCTGAAAGTTGCACAGTGAATACGGATGACAGAAGAATCTTGGTGTTTGAATCGTGGTGTTGATAAAGAGTATTGAACTTACCATGGACTGCCAAAAGAACAAACAAATAAGTATGCCTTGAAGGAAGTCCAATCAAGCTACTACTTAGAGGCAATGATGGTGAAACTTCACCTCAAATACAATGGGGATATCTTCAGGAGAGGTCAACCCTTGGGGAGAGACCTGATGATGAGAAGGGTCAGAGAAAGAGAAAAAGGTCCTCAATAAGATGTATTAAGAGGGTGACTACCACAATGAGCTTGGGCAAGGCAGAGGTCATGAAAATTTTGCAAGATAGGACATAGAGTTCATAAAGTCACTGTAAGACACAGTCAGCTTGATAATATCTAACAGCAACAACATGCCTAGACACTGTGAATGGAAAGGTAAAGAATGAAACTTAACATTACCATGACCTGGGTCTCTCTTAAAGTTCCTCAGATCCATTACTACCTGTAACTTAATTGATTTGAAGTCAGAAACCAGTGCTCGGATCCAATGATGTATTTCTACATGGAATTTTTTGCTGAGGAAATTTCCTTATAATAGTTTTTACCAGAAAGGTGTTCCCAGTTGGCTGCCCAAGAATTACCTAAGAATCATGAAAACGGCAAGTTTCCTGATCTTACTCCTTGTAAATGTGATCTAATTTGTTAGGTCATAACGAAACATTAGAATCTGTGTTTTCAATAAACTTCCTAAGTGAGTTTTAGGAGCAGCCAGATTTGGAACCACAAGGCTAAATGATTTAATAGATTCCTTCCACGTTGAAAGAATTTATAATATTTGACAAATGATCTTTTGATATTTGGTTAAACAGATCTTTATCTGGATATGCAGTTTATTTTATATTCTTTACATTGGTCTAAATTCTTCCACTGTCTCCCACTGGCAGAACCCAACCAGAAGATAGAAGTCCAGGGTGATGCCTTTTTATGTATGGGCCAACCTGCAAGCACAGGTCAGCGGGCGGTGGGGGGAGAGGCACACAGTGGACCTGGAAGGACAAATGGAGATTGCCTTATTACTCTTTCCTCCTCAGAACAGTCCATTAGAATTTCTTACATTTCGTTACTCTAAACATCTAAACACTACATATATTTTCTCAAACAAACCAAAATCATGTCTTCTAAAATTACTTCAAGGTTTAAAGGGTTTTTTAAATAAATTTTTTTTTATTTGTGTATCATCAAATAGGATCTGACTGGTACAGGAGGAGATTGTCCCTCCTTCTCCAGCAGAGCATCTGGTGGATTTGAGCTGCTCATCTCTGGGATTACAGTGCAGCTTCTTGCCACTAGGCCACCAGAGTTTGCCAGTTTAAAGGGTTTATTATCCCATTGTATATTTCAATGCTTCCTTTTAAAAATTTCTTAATGAACGATATTTCTCTAGAGAGAACCAAGATGGCAGCAGCAGAGGAAACAGTGTAAGGAGCTGGAGGAGCAGCAAGCTGCGTAGAAACAGGCCACCATGGTCCTCCACAGTCCTCAGTTTTTCGATAATTGAACAATTAAACAATTGATTACTGGTCTTCAATATGGGTCGAAGCTCAACATCAAGAGAAAAAGATTCCCCAAAAAAGAATAGGCGAGTCCAACAGCTCTGAGCCTCCTACTGCTGAGCCCATGCTGCCTTCACAGCCAGACCCCAGGGATGCCCTCACCTGGGATGGATGGTGGGAACCAGGCCCCACAGCTGGTATGCCGGAGCCGCCACCCTAACGAAGAATAAACTTAGTCTAAAATAAATTCTTGCAACCAAGATGGTGGTGCTGGTGAGGAGCAGGAAGCCTGGCAAGCTGCACTGAATCAGGCCACACAACTTATATAAACAGCCAAGCAGTTGATGGTCAGCCATCAATATGGACTGAAGCTCAACATCAAGGACAAAGATTCTCCAAAGAATATAGGTGAGTCCTACTTCGGCCCACTAACCACCACCAAGCCCATGCGGCAACTCCATAGGGCCACTGTGGATGGAGCCCACAGGTTCCCTAGCTTAAACCAGGTAGCAGGCTCTGCAGTGTGACAGTGCCCCTACATGGTCAGTGGCTACAGATGCCAACAATCATGGGCCCCCAGAACAGGAGGGGACTGCTGCTGGGCGGGGGGGGGGAATGGGGCAGCGGCTGCCATGGAGCCAAGAGAGGTGAAGGACTTGATACAGGAAAGCATCTCGCTGTCAGTGAAGAAAATTTCCTTGGATAGGTCAGAGAAGAAAAGAGGATCATCAACACAATGGATCGATAAAGTGTCTGTAGCAATGGGCTCAAGTGTGACTCAGATCGTGGGGATGGTGTAGAATAGGGCATAGAATGTTGTGCATAGAATTGTTGTGAGCCATAGCGAAATCTCAGTGGGCCTAGTGGATAGAAAGCTATGCTACCAAACTAAAGGTCAGGGATTTTAATCTGCAGCCCTCAGGCCTAGTTTTGATTGTTTTCAGCCAAACACGCTTCTAAGTAATATACCACTGCTCTGCCAATTGGCTATACAGTGGTAACTCGTGGTTGCTGTGAGGCTAAACACTGTCACACTGAAGTTACAAAAGCGATGTCCACCCATGGTGAACAGTGTTCGATGGTGCTCAGATTAAAACAAGCTTGGAAGGAGCAGTGGCATCCACTTCTGAAATAGCTTGCCTCCAGAAACTCTATGAACTTAGAGAAATGATGAAATTTATACCAGTGTTTAGGTCTTTCATTCATAGGGTTGCTATGAGTTGTCCATGATTCGATGACACTTAACAATAACAGAACCAAGATGGCAAATCTCCTCAATAAACCACATCTTTTGATTTCTTGACTACTGCTGCCAAGAACTGTTTAGACCTAGGAAGGGTCTGTTCACCACTCTCAAAGCCCCTTCTTCATTTGTGAAGGGGGAGGGTAGTGATACCTACTTTGAATTGCAGTCTGACCACTTGGTGGAGGGGAGGGGGCAATAGTGGTAGCACTGGAACCAGGGGTGCTGTCCCTGGCCATGGTCTTCAGTGAGGCACAGGGTCAAGGCTTTGTGTGGGGGGGGAGTTTTGGTAGGGGGACGTGCTGTTTGGCCCCCGGGGAGAACAGTTCAGCCCTTGGGGAGAGCCAGTCGGCCCCTCGGGGTGTGCCATCAAGGTGTGCCGTTTGATACTTAGGGTGTGTCATTTGGCTCCCAGGGAGAACCGTCTGGCCCTGGGGGAGAGCCGTCTGGCCCTCGGGGTGTGCCATTTGACCCTTGGGGTGTGCTGCCTGGCCCCCAGAGAGAGCTGTTCAGGCCCCTAGGGCATGCTGTCTGGCCCCCAGGTTGTGTCATCTGGCCCTGGGGAGAGCCATTTGGCCCCTGGTAATGCTGTCTGACCCGCGGGAATCTGGCCCCCAGGGATGTGCCATCCCCAGCCCCCAGGGTATGCTGCCTGACCCCCAGGGAGAGCCGTCTGGCCTCTGGGAAGAGCCTTCAGGTTGCTGGGGAAAATTGCCTAGAGTATACAAAGAATTTTATCTAAGCCACTTTTCTCCACCTTCTCCCCCAGTACACCTGTAAAGTAACACCTCTAAAGCCCTTCTCTTTGTAACTAACAAAGTTTTCCTCTCTAGGTTTACTCCCTTTCCTACAGGTAACCTTAACACTGAGTTTTGCTCCAGACTTGAACACTGATCCCAGTTCCAGAGACAAAAAGGAAATATAACTGTCAGCTAAGGAAGTGAGGAGGATGGAGCCTCAGGATTCAGCCATCCATCCCCACTGGACCCACCATGGCAAACACTTTGCAGTCCAGAGGGCAGTAAACATCAGGAAAACATCTTCTAACAGAGCAAGAAGGCAAGCAGCTTCAACCCAGGACCACCAGTAAGGTATTAAAGTGGGCTCCTCTTTCCCCTTCACATCAATGCCCCTGTTCAGCATGAAGAAGCCACACAGTCTGGGCCCTGTTCCCAAATGAGAAACCTACAAGCGAATAAGACAATTTGTTAATTTTTTTTTTTAAATCACCATTGGGCTATGCTTACCATTACCCTGTCTCTCTCATCCCCCCTGGATCTTTCTAATTTCCTTCGCCCACTTCCCCCCACCCCACCATATTGTACAGCCCTGTGATTTCATCCCTGCCATCTTCACTCTTCTGCTCCCAACCCTCACTCCTTTGTATCCCCATACAATAAAAAAAAGATACATTTCTTTTTTTAAAACTCTAAATTTGTTGCAGAAATGTATGTTAGTGGATTCCCTGCATCACAGGTTAAGACAGAGAATGAGTTCATAACCTCTGGGCCTGAACTGGTCCACATGGGCCCAGTGAGTCCTGCCATCTCCTCACTCGGCCTCTTTACTCTACGTCTTTACCCAGCAACAGACACATTGACTCAGAGAATTTCTTTGATTGGCTGAATATCACAGGGGTCTCCCCCTATTCTAAAACATGTTACCTTCCTCTTTACCTCTGTCCATTGCTTCACCTCCGTACAGACTAAGACTTATTTGGTTATAGTACCAGAGGACAATGGTACTCGTTAAGTTGCTAGCCCTGGGACTTCTTATCTTGATGACCCTCCTTTGCCTTCTGGAAGCACAGGCTATTCAGGGTGAGTGCTGAGGATGACCTGGTGAGGGAGGAGGGTTAAGGAATTGTGTCACATGACAGAAACAATATAGAGAATGAATTGTCCTTCTTTCTCTGTCTGGTTTATGGACAACTTCCGGTACCAAACTTGTATATCTCTATCATGTCAACTCTGGACCTAACATAGGTAGAGTGAAGTTCTCTATGACAGCATCTCCTTCAGGCTTTGCTCAAACTAAGCTTCCTTCCCATTACTTCCTCCTTTCTGAGACCCACAGCTCCATCCTGCAGCTGCCCAAGATGCTGATTTCTCTATTTCCCGGTTTGAGGTGTACCCTTTCAAGTCCAGATCTCCAGCAGTATCTATCACCATGTTCACAGTTAACTAGTTACATGGTTTTGTCTTATTTGAGGATGAGTTATTTGTGCTTGGGTCCAAAGCTTGTTTACATTTGTTGGGATATTGACATACTGATGAATACACAGGTTGTTGGGCACATGCCAGCTCACCTCATCTCCTCTCTCTTCTATCTCCCAACAGCTCTCCTGCACTCCAAAGGTTGACTCAATGTTAGAACAGGACTGTGTCTCACATAAAACTTAGAATAGGCAAAAAAAAAAGAAGAAGAAGAATAGGCATGACTTAGATACTCAACCTATTGTCTTGTAACAGTGATAGATATAAGACTTTTTTTTTTTTCTTTCTCCTGGGTGCTGGACTCTCTTTACATAGCTGACCACATGGGCTCCTATGGACCAGCTTTCTACCAGACTTATGGTGCCTCAGGTCAATTCACCAATGAATTTGATGGGGAGCAACTCTTCTCTGTGGACCTGAAGACAAAGGAGGCTGTGTGGCGTCTGCCTGAGTTTGACAACTTTGCCTACTTTGACCCTCAGGGTGGGCTGGCCAGCATTGCTGTCATCAAAGCCCATCTGGATGTCTTAGTGGAACGCTCCAACCGCACAAGAGCCACCAATGGTATCCCACATCATAGACTTCATGTCCTCTCTAACACATCATTTTCAAAATCCATGGCAAAATTGCTCAGTTTTTCCCTAGGCATCTCTAGATCTTTCCAGACCCTCTTTCTTCATTAGAAAATTACACACCCACCAGGATTCTGTCCCCTACATATATATTAGAGAAACAAGCCCCAGAGTCCCCACTGTCCTCTCAGTCTCTTCTCTGTTTCACTCTCCTCCTGCCCCAGAAATTACCTCCCTGTCCCTACAGAATGCCCTACCTGCAGGTCACTAAATAGGAGAAGATGTCCTTTAATTCCAGCCCTAGACTGTAAGAGACGAGTCTTTAAGAGTCAGTGTTTCTTTCCTCCTAGAGCCTCCCAGAGTAACTGTGCTCCCCAAGTATCGAGTGGAACTTGGCCAGCCCAACATCCTCATCTGCATTGTGGACAACATCTTCCCCCCTGTCATCAACATCACCTGGCTGCGCAATGGTCAGACAGTCACTGAGGGGGTGGCCCAGACTAGCTTCTATTCCCAGCCTGACCATTTGTTTCGCAAGTTCCACTACCTACTCTTTGTGCCCATGGCAGACAACGTCTATGACTGCAAAGTGGAGCACTGGGGCCTGGATGAGCCACTGCTTAAGCACTGGGGTATGAGACCTCTCACCAATCTACCCTCATAAGCCCTCTGTTTTCTTTTCTCTAGAATTCCTTCACTCTGACTCTTTCTCCCTCTTCCAGAGCCCAACATCCCTGCCCTGCTACCGGATACCACAGAGACCTTGATCTGTGCCCTGGGCATGGCCATTGGCCTGGTGGCCTTCCTCCTGGGCACCATCCTCATCATCAGCGCCACATGCTTGTCCAGGGCTCCCAGGTGCACAGGGCCCCAGGAGAATGGGCAGAGAAAAGTGAGGGATTCTGGAAAGGAATCAGAAATTTTGTGAGAACGTGAGGCAGGAAAAGGTGTCGTGAGAAAGCACTTGAATGTTACTGAGTCGGTTCTGACTTGTGGCAACACCATGTATTATACAGTAAAATTGCTCCACAGTTTTCTCAGCTTTTACCTTTGTAGAAGCAGATCACCAGGCCTTTATTCTATGAACCACTGGGTGGGTTTGAACTGCCAGTCTTTAAATTACTAGCTGAGAGCAAACCATTTGCATTGGGCAGGGGCCTTTAGAAACAAGTACCTGAAGAGAACTAGAAAGCAGAGATGGAGTAAGGGAGTGAGGTTTGCGGGATAGTAGAGTGCATGAAGCCCGTGCCTGGGGTTGTAACCTTCAACATCATTGATCATATGGTCTTTATTACTTTAGGTAATGGCCCTAAAGAAGTGGATTGTGAGATACAGCAAATGGATTCCTTGCAGGTGTCTGACAGCCCTTGCAGGCTCAACCCCAGTGTGAAGCTTACTAACTACAACCACATTGTACTGATTTCCAAGGAGAACAGGCGCAATCCAATTTGTCCCCTGCTTTGTCCTTAGTGCTCCAAGCAAAACTTTGTGAGGCATTAACCACCTCCATTTCCTACTTCAACACATACACACTCTTTCTTGTCCTGCCCAACATTCTGCCTGTTTTTGTTATGTACCATTGAAATAGGATTGACTCATAGCTAAGCTTCCAGTGGGTTTGCAGAAGCTGTCAATCAGTCACTCAGGAAGAGATTGCCCATCCTTTTCCTGAGGAGCAGCTAGTATTCAAATCACATACATTTGGGTTGACAGCATAATTCATTACTCACTGTGCCACCAGAGCCCCCTAAAGCAATAAATTGTTTCATGGTATTTGTGCTGCATCTTTCTTACAGAGTGTGAGGGATGCTGAGACCTGGGAGAAGGGATTCTGGGTGATGATCATTGTAAGTAGGAAAGTCAACAAACACTCAAGCAGTCCCTCTAGCTCCATTTCTTTCTGGGCCATGGGATCTTTCTGGAGCCTCTTCTGCACACTGATTCTATTCTTATCTCTCAATGGACACTTATTTTTAGTTAATAACCATGCTTTACTTTCTGAGTTTATACCACTTCAGCTCTACATACCTAAGAAGTGAAGACTCATGTCTCCTGGTCACATTCT